GACTTCAATCAACTTCAATTTTTTTTTGTATTGTTTACGTATTCATCATATTTTTTTCGTTTTGAGCATGTCAGATTCGTTCCACTTTTCACCACCAGGCAACTTTCGTTACGACTAAAGTACTCACAAAGCAATTTTTTTCGTTGTTGGTGTGATTCTTAGCACGACACAATTTTTTATTTTTGCCTCAAAGCACAGACCTTTTTTCGATATGTTCGTGTTGTTGCTCTTTTATAAATGCGACAATAAAAAAAATGGTTTTCAGAACTATCCGAAATGATTGGGTGACGTCATGGAAAATACACGCGAAAAAAACAACAACGGAATAAAATGAGAGAACAAACTCGAACGTATTCGATGAATCACTGTAAAATCAATGCGTTCTTTATGGTCTTATTTCGATGTGAATATTCCGAATGGTTTTGATTCAACGAAAAATATTTCTTTTTTTTTGTTAGAACTTTTTAAATTCACTGATTTAGTTTTAATTTTCTTCAAATTTTTGTCGATGAGGAAATGAAAAATCGGGATACAGAATACTGGCAATTGGTATGAACAAACAGTTTCCACAACGCGATAAAATGAACTGTGCTATCGAATGAATGAATGAAATGGATAAATAAATGTCTGTATGAAGAAAACTACACACAGAGAAAACCGACATATTCGCGATGTGTATATAATAGGTGAGATGGAAATCGGTCTGTGGCGAGAAAACAGAAACATACATTCACACATCGGCGCACCAATACTGTCGCGTAGCACAGCTGCTCGGCTATCGTTACAGCGCGCAAACAAACACACACACATAAATGTCGTCGGATGAACACTCACAAACGAAACCGAGAAATGAACAATCGTTGTTCAACGCATGCACGTTTTAGGTTGGCAACCATGAACTTGGATATGTAGAGCAGAAAAACAGCGAACTTTTTAAAATTGCATTTTCTTCGATATTCGTAGCGTATTTATTCATCAATACATTCCTTAAACCCTACAGAAAAATAATAATATCATCACTAGTTATGAATCACACGGCGAATTTTAAACAGAAATTTCAACATCGGATGCATTCGAGGTAGAAATCAAGCACAGATTGGCCAAGTTTTCGTATAAGTGACTCGTTCAAGTACGTTCGATTGACAATTTCGTTGAGAACACTATTTCCGCACGTTGAATTGATGAGCATCGTTGATGCATACACAGTGGCTGCACCCAATTTAAACTCTTCGTTCCCATTGTATCCGTATGTACTTTGTTCCACATAATGAAAACTGTAACAGACAGACAGATAGACGGAAAAAAAATCACGTCATTAATTGTTTTTCTTTACGTATCGACACAAAACAAATGGTCTGGTTATACATATATTTCATTGAATTTCTTGCGATACAGATAAATGAAACGGAGCATTTGAACACAGCTGTCATGAAGCTGGTCGAAACGAATGGCGAGTTCGTGATTTCGATTTGTGATTTGCGTTGCCAAGTCTATGGCCACCGAATATAATTCCGACGATTTAATCTGATTTTTCAAAGAATCAAAAGAAAAAAATTATACGAAGAATGTAAACAAACAATTTTGATTCGACGACATCGAGCGAAATACTTCGTGGCACGTCACTTATTTTTTTTTTGTTCTCTCTCTATCTCTGCCTCTGTATACTTACATTGAAACCCAACAGTTTGAACACAATGTATTCGGTATTCCTGATTTCACGTGTACTGTATGGGGTGCCATTGAGTTGCAAATACTTTGATAGGCTGCTGAATAGTTTTTCACATCGAAACCCATTCACATACTTGGCACAAATTGATATCAATGCCATCACATGTAATAACGATGTTTTTTCCACACCATCCAATACATGGTCGATCAATTGACTCGTCTGCTGGATTTTTGTCGTCGTCGTCGTTGCACCATTTGATTCAAGTGTCGTCTGTTTGAATTGCGTCTCCAAATCGGGGAAAAAACGTTTGAAATATTTCATGTATGCTTCATAGCATGTGAATTCGATGTCGACCGGCAGTTGGAATTCAGCGCACAGTTTTCGAATCAATTTAAACGTGTCCGGATCCATAATTGAGCTATCAAACACCACCAATGTCGTTTGCAATGAACGCATTTTCGTCGTTTGAAATCAAAACGAATTTCTTGCTTGCCCAAATTTCCCTTAAGATAGAATCTGTGCAACAAAAAAAAACGCGTGTACCGGAATGATAGAATGTGATGATACTAAACTCCGATCGAACTGATTTGTTTACCATCGGGCACCAAATATACACAGCGAAAAAGAGAGAGAGTGAGAGATAGAGAGAGAAAGGAGAAAACCGTTAAACGGTTTCAGTGCTAAGTCGTGTTCTCGGTCAAATATGAATCGCCCGTAGAGTGGCACCGTTGTTGTATAACACACTCACTTTTGGGTGTATTTGATAAACAATAGACTCAAAAAATGGTTTTCGTATACAATAACAATACCTAATGCCGTCACATTGAACCGCTCTCTTTGTCTTGCTTGCTTGTTGTTGTTGGACTATGGTGCGCCGCTACACATAACGTCTGAATATTTACGAGACACATTTTTTTTTCTCGAAAAATGATATTAACTGTGTGTACGAAATTTTTTTTCTTATTCGCACATCAAAGATATTGAATACTTACTTAGCTTGACCTGGATGAAAAGCCAAGCGGCGAGGCAAAATGAAATTGCCCATTTGGAAAAGATAAAAACATGAAATGAAATCATAGAAAGTGTGAACAGAGTGTTATGTATTTTGCATACAAGTGCGCAACAAAGGCTCCGTTGAACACTCGACACTGACACGCACACTATTATTTTCCACCTCATTACGAACTGCATTACAGTATGACAATTTTCGCTTCTGATTCACAGTCGTTTGGTCACTTTGTTGTTCTACATCAAATCGAAATGCGATACAAGTGAACACTGAACGGTGTTACAATGTGCATTGTGGCCTATTGGTCATGATAATCATCTCGACGGCATATTTTATACGTGACGATAACATGTCTCTATCTCGACTGTCTGTCTGCATCGAAACTGAATAATTTTAACTTGTTTGATTGCACTATTCAAATTGGTCTATTCAGAATTGTTTTTCAACTATAATAATTGACCGTTCAATGAATGAGAAGCACTAAAAATCAGCATGAATAAAATATTGCAATAGCCAAATAGCAAAAAATTCTACAGGGGAAAAAAACCAACGGCAAAAAAATTGTATACCTTTCATGTCGACCGCATGCTCGAATGCAATTAGGCATTCACTTTTTTTCTCTCTATAAAATGATTCAATTCAATTGATTTATCGTCAATATCATGGGTTATATTTAAATGTGGACATATAAATCAATTCAAAATTTATGAGTTATTTTTTAACAGTTAATGAGTTTTTTGGTCGAGCAAAAAAATTACATTTTTTCGGTTTACCTGCTGCCGTGTTTTTCTGCTGGTAAATGAAAAGAGGACAATTTTAATGGATTGTCCACAGATATTTCACCTCCATTTATTTTGGATAAAATAAATTGATACAGCACAAATGTGGTATGGTTTTTCCGGGAAATTTAGTGGCGCGAAATCAGTCATAGTCACAATAAAATCGGACGGAAAATATCCATAACAACAGCCAACCGATAACATAAATATTGGTTGACTAATCGGCTATTTTTCTCCCTGTCTCCCTGTCTCTCTTTTATTTCCAACATTGTCCCTGATATTTCAGGCATCATATTGAATAATTTGTGTCTGCACTTGCTTTTGCCCGCCATAGGCAAACATGACAGCAAATCGTATCAATTTATTCGTCGTTTTCGTCTTTCCTCCGAAATAAATATAGGTATATTCGAGGAGACGGACATATGATTCAAAAAGAGCAAACATAAAATCGTGTGCCTTATATAACCCTGCTAGACATGGACACATTCAATTAACTGTTGTTCTTTCTCATCATTTTAGTTATTATCAACAAATGAAACAATAATCCAGATACGAATGATACAAAACGACTAAATCTTTTCGACTGGTTTTTGTTGGGCGGGTTTATTTTGGTTCTTGTTTCGGTCGTTAAGTTAATATTTAATTGAAGCGCCATAATTTCAAGGGGTTCAAAACGATAAAACTTTGTTTACATTTGATTTCAATTTGTAATGTTTTATGTTGCTATTTTGAAAATATATGATTTTTAAGAGCGACCAATTTTCCGAGCCAGATTTTGTGTTTATGTAAGCAAATTCATTGGATTATAGTGGGTGACAGTGAGAAATGTTTTTTGTTTGCCAAAATGAATCTCAAAGCGAGAGCGAGACGAAAAAGAAAGAGGAAGAGAGAGAGAAAATGCTAATAAATACTCCCTCAAGCCAAATCGAATGCATGTTTTAGCTAAGCGAATGCGTATAATTTTTTTCCCAAAAGTAGTCTTTGACATGCGTTCATTTGAAAACAGGAATCGTACGGTACACTTTGATAGAACACAATAAATTTAAACATTGCATTAGTTTGAATACAATTTGCTTTGAATAATTTACATTTATTGATTACACTGGTGAAACGGAATGTTATGTTGATTTATGCGTATTTGGCTTGTGCAATCGTTCAAGTTATCAAAAGGCCGTTGGGTTGATGTCAAAATATACACACGAAAAAAATATTGAAACATTCTTGATGAATAACAACAACAAAAAATGTTAGATAAAAAATTGGATACAAAATCCAAAGTGGTCGAGATTGTTTTTTTCATTCTTTGGTCTCAATTCAGTTTATAATTCGATATTCGACAAATTAATTTCGCCATTAAATGCGGCACGTTGTCTGCTCGAGTCGCAAGTGGTGGACCGAGTCTCAGTAATTAGGCTGTATAATGCTAAATACAGAGCCGGCTTCAATGAGATTTAGTCTAGGGGGTAGACACGGATTCTAATATTGGTCTAATATCACTAATCTGTCTAATTTTTGGAAATATATCCCAAGTTTCATTTAGTTTTCTTTAATATTTCTAATAATCGATTGAAAGTGCTAATATCTTCTAATATTCTCGTAAAATGTTCGCCATTTAGTTTTACATTGCCAATGCATTTCCTTATGGAGATTATTGTTTTGTTTATTTTTTGTTGTTTGTAAACAAATCTGCCTATCTTTTAGCATTGCCTCTGTACTTAGTATATGATCCATACGAAGTATACAGAGGCAATGCTAAATGATTGGCAGGTTTGTTTACAAACAACAAAAAATAAACAAAACAAAAATCTCCATAAGGAAATGCATTGGCAATGTAAACCTAAATGGCGAACATTTTACGTCTCTGTACTATGCACAGTGGTAATGCGTTGAAATACTTGCAGACTTGTTGACAAATAACGGAATTGTTTACCGTTTTGTTTCATCAAACAAAATAAAAATCTTCATAAAGAATTGTATTGGCATAGCATTTGCCATGTCAAAATCATCAAACATTTCAGTTTCTAATATTTTCTTATATTCTCTAACTTACTGTATTAGATTCTAATTTACTAATCGTGTCTACCCCCTAGGATTTAGTCGATGTTGGATTTAACGGATCAATTTAAAGTGTTTCATAACAACATTCGTTGCCATGCACCGGCTGCGTTCATTATGTGCTGACCAACATCAAGTCAATAACACAGGCTTAGCGGTTTAATTAAAAGCAAATGTGGCAAAAGGGTAAAACACAGTGGACAACAAAAACGATACGAGCGAGAGAAAAAATGCGACAAACTGTGTGTTTTGCACTGGCTTTTGACACGACGACGGAAATTCCGAGTGCATTCCGATACATGTGCAACCAACATGATGAGATGAAAGTGAGAAAAAAAGGTGCACGGTTTCATTTGCACAATCGATCCATTTTTCTTTTTGCGACTAAACATACACACAATATTCGGAATTTTGGATAGAAAATTCCATAAGCGTTCGCCAATGACCAAAAATATTCCAATTAATAGGCGATAACAGTGTTTTAATTAGACAAATGAACATTGCTGGAACAATGTGCGTTGAAAGTGTATGCGGCCATAAAAGGCAAATGAAACTGATTGTTTCTAAGGCCATTCGATACATGAAAAAAATTTAATTCAAACCATGTTGCTGCTGCTTGCGTTCTTGGTATTTTACGTATTTTTTACCAACGAATGTAGCCATGTCTTGTACAAATAAAGGTCCTTTTTCGCACGTGTTCGGGGCTGATTATGTGGAATTATAATTGAAACTCATATTCTGCCACGGAAATTCGATCAGTTATTTAGTCTTCTAATGATAATTTTTTCGCAGCACATTATTTTATATGGGAAAATTACGGAGACCTGCACTGACGCAGCCAGCAGGGTTTTTGTGTATTGGTCATTCGACGCGAATTGTGCGCACGATACATAAACACCATTAAAGGCACTAAAAACAATTTTGTCGTTTCAGATTTTTAATCGGATTGACTTTGGTTCAATGGATTTGGCCGACGGTGTGTGTGTGTGTTTGTGCTCTTTTGCCATTTTTGCAACACATCGTTCAACATTTGCCAGTCTTACCACTCATTATTTAATAACATTTGCTGCATTAAATCAACAACTGAAAAAAAACGATGTGAATTGAGACTGAGAGAAAAGTGTTGAATCAAGAGCGAAAAAAAGTCAAGACACATAATTTATTCATAATTTTTCGACGAGATTAGCACACTTGACAAAAATTGAACATAATGCGGCGGTGTGTGACACGCAGAACGAGCGACATACGGAGAAAAAGTGGAAAAAGAGCAAAAAAAAAAGTGTACGATGTGATGTGAAAAAGAAGAAAACCGTAGAAACAATCAATAAATTTGATCATACACCATAGAGATTGAAACCAGTTTGCTAGACATTATAACCAGATTTTCAGCTGCTCACTCTTTTTCGGTTTCATTTTTCGTCCATTTTATGCAATTTCTTGAAGTAAGGTGCGTTAATTTAATCCATTTACGGTTAATAGAATTATCGTACTTTGCGAAAGGAGATGAAAATGTTACATTTGATTAGAGGTGAATGAATTCACCTTCCCAGATGGTTTCTTATCTTTTTTCTTTGCCAGCGCATTTTCTTATCACATCGACGTCTCTTAGCGCAGAGGGCACCAATGATCGACCATTCCACACCAAGTGTAACAAAAATTGCAGATGACCTCTCCG